ATATGTCATTGTCAGTGGAGCCAGGAAGAGGGAGGAAGGCTATACAGCAGAAGATGCTGGAGTCATTGCGCTGGAAGGCGAAGATGAGAAGGAAATGTTAGAGTCCAATGCGTTCTACAAGCTGGAGCATGGCCTGGAAGATCAGCAAAAAGCCGTGGATGCCCTCCCTGTCATCACGCGATTACAGGTGAGCTCCTTTCGCAAAGTTTACTTTCAAGATCCGGCCGCTTATGCAGCTCAATGCGTTTAGCGGTATAATGATGATCGATGGGGGGATCCTTACACGATGTCACGAATCATGAGGAAACGCCATAGGGTACGTGAAGTTGTTCATGTTCGTCGTTGTGGCGTGATAGAGTGTCTGACGTTCATTTGCAGGAAGATAAGAAGGTCCGCGAAGCGGTAAAAAAGGAGTCGGATGCAATTCGAGACAAACACAACCTTCTGCTTGATATATTACCCGAATCCGCGGAGGACACTGAAAAGGCCAAGAAAATCAAATGGGGTGAGTCACTACGATGACGCGGCGCTCAGCGGGCGTTGTGCAATTCGTTGATGTTTCTTGTTCTGCAGAACCCGAACCAGAGACGGCGGATGAAAAAAGTAATCGCGTCAAAATGTCTCGCGTTTTTGGCCGTAAATCGGCGTCCAGCGCGAGTCAAAATTCACCAGATCCCAAACGCCGGCTGAAGAGCATTATCGTCTCGCAGGCCCTCGCACAGACGGATCCTTTCGCTGTACCAGATGACCCACGGACCTCACCGGGGCGGATTGTTGGGACCGGGGTTGCGGTTGACTTGCGTAGCATGGTGAGAAAGAAATCTGAACCATTTGAAAGAGAATCCACAGTTGGACCCGACGATTTAGGCGAGGAATTTCGGTCCACAGTGCCGTTTGTCGCGGAAGGCGTCGTGAAGAATGGCGGGAAATCTGGGGCAAGTTTAGTTCCGGCATACTACGGAGATAGTGACGAAGATGTCGCCGCTATGCCGTTGGTATGCCAAGATTACGGCGATAGCGACGACGAGCCCGATTCCAATAGAAATCCAGGCTAGCTGAACTTGGGAATTTCAACATACAGTCGAGCTCAGTCCTTTGCGTCCCACCAACTGCTATCTACTACTCCAATAAATACAGATATTTGTGAAGTAATTTATTTTGCAAAAACCAGGGGGTAGTGATGTGCTTTCCGACAATAGCTGTACATCAAGCAATAAAAAACAAATACAAAAATGTTTATACCCATCACCTCATCCCCTTTGCTCGCTCCTAAGATCCTCCTGCACCTGTTCCCAATACTTTTTCAACGTAGACTCGCCCCTATCCTCATTCGCCACCGCCCACAACTTTCTGATCACCTTCCAACGCGGTCCAAATGTCTCCACCAACCGCGTGAGTAACGTCTGCTGCCGCTGCCCCAACTGACATTTTCTGTGTTTGTTCATGACACGCCAATACTGACGCAAGCCATGAACGGTGTACGGGAAAGCGGGTGCAGAGATGGCATTGAAGTATGTTGCGACTGTGGCGTAGTTTGGGGCGTAAGTTTCCATGAGGAAGCGGAGGAGGTGTTGTTGGTCGGCGGTGATGGGGAGTGCGCGGCGGGTTTGATCACGATGCGCAGTTTTTTCCCCCCTTTTTTCGATTTAACTTTCTGCACGGGCAGTGGTGGGGGTGAGACACTCTCCTCGACCTTTACGACGCACTCGCCCTCACTCTCCTCATCTTTGTCTGATTCATCATCCATGGTATCTTCATCAACCTCTTCAGTCGATGTCTCATCCGGATACACCCTCACCCGAAACTCCTCAATCAACGCATCCCGACTAGCTGCCCACGCGTCGGTGCCGATAGTGTCGGATGGGAGGGGGGGTGGAAGTGTGCCCAAGTCGTCGAAGTTGTTGAAGTCGTCAGAGCCAGAGTCAGATGAGACGGAAGAACAGGAGGAGGAGGAGGAGGAGGAGGACCCGAGGACGGTGTGGATTTCGCCGGCGTAGGGGTGGGTGAAGTCCTCCATTTTTTTGAGAGGTGTGATTTGGCGGAGGGTATGGAGGAGGACGGAGCAAAACACAGAGGACTGCAGCTGCATGGAGGTGCATGTTTGGATACTGTCCCCTGATGATGGGGTATCCAAAAGCGTCTCCGTGGATGTCATGTTGCAGCACACACCAATAGGGTCTCTTGAGTGATGACGGTGCATCCTTTGACGAAGGATGCACATTTTGCAGGATAAGCATGTATCCATGTGCAGCGGGTTGTAAGCCGAATGTCGTGTTTATTTCGCGGATGGGACGCGACGGTGCTAACGAGAACTGAAGATGCCCAAAACTTCCGCCTCATCCCTCACAGGCATCTCACCACCACCACATCGTACACATACCATACATACAACAATACCACACACACGCCACAATACACATAGCTCGCATCCAATTGTGATTCATCGGAAAATCTCTCCGTTATCCGTACATCAAGCATAAAATGTTCAGGATGGTCGAAGTCTGGCACCGTCATTCACTCCAATCACACAAATGTTCGGTCCATTTTGAGTGTCCTCCCTCCCTACATCTAAGTCATTTTCTTGTAAGCAAAACCTAGTCCCGTCGGCCTATTGGGACTGTGCACCACCGGACAGTCCATACAACTCTGGAATCCATGATTATCCAACACTCCCAAAGTAAGTCCCTGGCACGCAATGACTTTGATCCATGTTAAAGCGGGACAGGCAGTCACGAAGGCCTGGATACCCGCGTCCCTGACGCCCAACAATCGATGCACAACGAGCACCTCGACAGCCGGGAAGGATATAGCGAGATTGAGCATGCCTTCATTCGTGATAGATTCTAGCTGTCCAAGGCAGAGATAACGAATTTTCGGAGCAGCGGGGGCCTCTTTCAGAGTTGCGAACGCCTCATCCGTCAACCAACGGCACGATGAAAGGGACAGCGTATGCAATTTTGGGATTTGGAGGATGCTCGTGAAAGTCGCCGTGTCCATAGCTCCATCCGAAAGGAAATGAAATGCTGCGAAACAGTTGAGCTTCCGGATTGATCAGAAAACGCAGCAACAGTTTCACAATCGTACCTTCCAAATTTGGGCAAGCATGAATTATGGCGTTGACAATGGCAGTTGTCCACGCTGGTGGGAGAGTGAAACCGCCAGGTCGCGCGACGGTGACGATATCAAGGCGGCGCAGCTGCAAGCAAGGTTCCCTTACTTTGTTGACCCATCTCCTTCAACCACTTGAGTATCACACTTACTTTGTGGAAAACCGGAGCGAATTCCGCGTCAAATTGGGCGACAGTACTCTGCAAGTGAGCATGACCGACACTCATAAATGCAAGTTCCTGCAATCCTTCGCATTGATTCCTCAGCATCCTGATCGTCTCTTGATTCGTGTCTCCCCATAGCCGCACCGCTCGCACGCACATCCCGCACTGCCGCAACAGTTTAGCCATGAGCGGGACGCTCAAGCGAGAAACAGCGACGGAGTTTTTGGGGTTCGAATGATCGAGTTGACGCCATAGAGAGGGTGTGAAGAAGAGCCGATCAAACCTGCGGGATGCGCACCGCACTACAGATTACAAAACGGACAGGTTCAGTTGGATACCCCATCGGGCAAACTACCCCGACATTGGGAGCTCGAAAGTCAATCGGTCGATCTTGTGAGGAGCTTACGTTTCTTTTTGGTCGTTACGTCCAAATATGCGATGGACTGTACAACCAACTCGTTGGGAAGGTCCAACAGGTGCCTCTGCTTGCGATCAGTGGTGGTCGGTGGGTCCTGATCCTGGCAGGTCATGGTGATCCAAAGTGAAGTGTTGCACTGAAGCGAAAGGAAAAGCTGGGCTGTAACAATCTTTATGCCAAGTCGCTACGTTTTCGGATTCTCCCACGATGCCCAAGCAGTTTCAGGACTCTGCTCTATTCTGAAATGGAACGTCGGAGATCACGAGCAGTTGGGATGGGGAACGGAGGGGAACGGAGGAGACCGGGGCGGTGGAGGATGATTGCGATGTCAGCTGAACCAGCCACTCGGACCATCTGACCATGTCCGACGCGACGCGGTCAGACTTTCAGATATTCCTTTGTTTTTTCCCCACTCTCAGTCATGGATGCTGTATCGGGGCAAGGTTGCTGAAAACCATATCGCAAGACGCTAAGGGCGCTTCTAGATTCCTCCCATAGATTGCAGCTGGGGGGATGTCGGAGGCAAGAGTGATTTGAACAGCCCTTGTGGTTCCATACCCTGTCAACCATCGGTTGGATTCTCCAAAAGGATGCACTTACGAGCAGGCGAGTCCATCTACCACCCACCCAACGCAGAAATTGGTGTGTGCTGCACAAGGTAACAAAACTCGAGTAGTCAAGAAAGAAACATTGTTCGTACATGGTTTCACTGATCCGATACAATCTGTAGCGGCTTTGCAGGGAGGTGCGTGGTTCGCCCGAGAGCTCTCCCGGTGCACTCCAAGTTGCATCATCGCAATCAAAGTGAGCATAGGTACGCAACATAGGACACAAAGCAAAATGGCTGCTAACTTTAATTCCCCGTTATCTTGGGTGGGTGGTACCGGGAAGCGAAGGCGCGCGGATTGCATCCAAAAAGTAAGTCGGATAGGACAGCAAAGGGGATGGAGTAGGACAACGATGAGAGTCTGAGGGCTGCGCATCCTATCACATTGTTGCCTTGCCAACGAGTAACGGGGCCTCGGAGATAGACAAGGTCAGTTGACTCGAAACCATTTCAACGGCTTCGCCATGCTGCTATTGCTGAAGTGGAGACCCCTGCGGAAACAACTGCGGAAACGCAAGCGAGGTGCAGCTCGCGTCGCTCACAAAAATAATGTACTATGAAACATCACACAATTCTTACGGCCATACAGTACAAACAACACCACATTCGGCGCTCGAAAGGCTTCGTCACGTCAACCAAGACAGCCGAATAGTAAAAAGTAATATCCCTTAAGGGAATTGAGCTTGCGGCGTACGCCAATCAGTGCATGGTCCGGGAATCGAACCCGGGTCTGCCGCGACCTGCTTCCTTCCAACTGATTTTCATCCTCCGGAGGACTGGCAGGCGGCAATTCTGCCACTGGACCAACCATGCGATGGAAAAACAAGGCATTGGTTACGACGCATGAACGGTAATGCTAACAGTACCTGCAAAGTCGGCGTATATTCAAGACAAACATGTTTGACCGACGAAAACTTTGTCAGTTGCGATGGGATGCGCGAATGACACTGGCGAACGTGCGGTCAGAGGTGGAAGAAAACTCGATGATACCCGCGCGTGGCGCAAGCCCACTGCGCCATCTCCGGTTCGGTATCCGCTATGCGCGACGTGTCTCCGATGGAACGTTGCTTTTAGGACAACTTCCCACATGATCGCATCCCTCTTTTCCGGGTTTAGAAGTGATTGGCGTGTTGTTGTTTTCCTTCGGGAGCACACCCACAAATCTGGTGCTTCTACCCAGCCATGAGGTGATCTGATGTGGTGTGTTGGTTCTCGTTTGAGCCACCGCCAGTGCCGTGTCTTAGGATAATAGCATCTGTGGACGATGGATAGTTGTCAATCGAATACTGTATATGTCAATATATTTCAATATGTAACGGCTTGGCTGTGAAAATTTGTAATATTTTGGGATGAAAGCATTATATACAAAAATAAGTCTATGTGCTACGGTACTCAACAAAGGGCGCAATTTCAACTTTTCTTTCGTCTCTTATGGGGACTCGTTCCCGGTGAGGGAAGAATATCTGCATTTCCAAGCAAATGGTTGAGCGACATCCAAAAATGTGCTATAAAAGATAGACCGTGACGCACCGCAGATATGGTATCACCTTACTTGCCTGCTGCGAAGGACTGTCTCACATAGCTCTCGCATTCCGCTGCAGTCCCATTGGGGTGTTCCAGCTGCCACAACATGACGGCCTCCAGGTACTTGCCGATCTGAGGCCCAGCTTTCATGTTGAGGATTTTGCAAATCAGTTTACCCTGATCACAAGAACAAGGAGACTTCAGTTAATTCTCTGACACGGAGCAAATGAAGTAGCGCCAGCGATTGGCCACTCACGTCCAACAGCGGTTTAAACTCGAATGCTCGCTGCAGATTTTGATCCAGGATTGCTTTGACTAGCCGCTCGTATTTAGCAACGATAGACGCACATGCCGGCTCTGAGACCTTCATTGGAGAGTGATGGCTGGAAGCATAGGCAATGGCTATCCTACCATCAACAGTTGCAAATCCCGCAGCAGCAATGTCTCTGGTCAGAGTGGTCAACAAAGCTAAAGGCCATCGCTCGCCAATCTTTACTCCAATTTGCCGAACAAAAAGCCCTGAATACAAGCCTTTCCCATTAGCGGCAGCACAACCGTCGTCCCGGGAAATGATCGTCTCACCCACCCAAAGCTTTTCGATCCACCTGCTCAGGAGTCTCCGTCATCTTGTTTACCATTTCCATAATAGTCGGTTCGTTGGCGAGCAAAGAGGATATGGTATCCCCTTCTGCAGTGCTAAGCTGTTTGACACAATCGGATAACTCGTCAAAATTCTGCTTGCTGAACCCAAACGGACTCTGGCAGATTCATAGCTCACCTTCAGCGATTGAGTGGCAATATATCGGCTCACGGGGTAAACCTTGAGTTTCTCTCGGTAGGTCATGCTACCAAATGGTGCCAACCCGGCTGCAAAGAATAACAGTCGTCTACTATCCGCCGACACAGGCACAAGATAGGAGGGCAGAACATCTGACACGATTGGGGAGCTCAGAAGTCTGAGCAGGAGGAAGGATATGAGAACATGCGTACACGCAGTGACTCTCCATCAACCAAGCGCAAGCCGAACCTTTCGGTAATCTCTGCGCATTTCGACGCAAAAATTGGCGTTGTTCCGGGCACAATCCCTTCGGGTGGTACAAACACCATCTCGTAAAATCCAAACTGGCGTAACAGCTCGAGCGCCCGCACTGGGTCCTTCCCCTTCATCATTTTGTCAATTTCCACCCCGATGCGCTCCCGAGTAATTTTCTGGATAAATGAAGACTGCAGTACGGAGAATTTAGCAACACATCACTTCTCCACGCGTGCAAACAATATTTAACCCTGTCTCTCATTATTCTACCTTGATGTCTTCATTCTGTGCGGTCGCACAGATAGCATGATCAATATCGTACCCAAATCGAGTGGCGAAACGGATGACGCGCAAAACGCGAAGAGGATCATCGATAAAAGTTTGGACAGGCTCCAAGGGCGTTCTAATTACGCCGTTCTGTAAGTCTGCCAACCCCTAGGGTGGAAATTTCGCACGCATGTCAGAGAATCTGAAATGAAGAATGGAGAAAGTGGGTAGGGACTGACCTTCCCGGTGAAGTCTTCAACTTGTCGTGTGTTCAGGTTGTAGAACAGAGCATTGATGGTACAATCACGGCGGAGGGCATCCTCTGTTGGAGTTCCGAAATCCTAGTTGGCGGCGACTTAGCCCAGTCCAATACCAGCAGTGCGTTTTGAGGTCGCGTCAACCAGATTAAAGTTTCTCACCACTGTGGGATTCCGGCTATCCTTATTGTACGTCTCCGTGCGCAAATGGACAAAATCCACAGCCGCTCCATTCACTTTTGCAGTGGCAGTTTCTAAGTGTTTGGACTTCTCCGGGTTCACCTGAATTGTGGCGATGGTGCCCATTGGCATCCCGTGCGCCAGCATGTATGCTTTTAAGGCTTGCGCAAAAGGTTCGCCTTTCATGGTGTCTATCGCAATATCAATATCCTCGCATTCTAACCCAAGCAGCTAGTTACAAGAGAAGACAAGGAAATAGTTTGAGCTGCCAAAGTATATATATTTGTCGCCTTTCGCGCGAAGCTAGTACAAATAATCCTATAATCCACCTTGTCTCGAACCCAGCCTCCGGCAACTCGCAAGGTAACGGGGGAAAGTTTGGGATTTGATTCTTGCAAATAGTTTACAGCGGCCATGAGCAAGTCAAATAGCTTCGTTTCATTCTCCGTCAGCCGCAATTCGGGCGATGTCCCTCCAGAGTAGCGCATTCTGTCGCGTTTTGAGACTAGTGGATAGTTTATCTCAGCTACTGTGGGGTTACGTGCGGTTGCGTAATGCCTTCTGGGGAGATGTCTGTAGGTGGCAAGTGATCTGCAAGCGAAGACGGGAAACAGAGCAGAGTACGGGAATAGGACGGGTCGCGGCGGTGCGGCTATATATGGACGAGGGAGCAGACACAAACTACGTGGATACGGCATGCAGTTGTATCCAATATATATCCGCCTGCGTTTTGGTTATCGACTGGCTGTGGTGAAGACGTCCTCATTGACAGTGGCCACTGCGAAATGGAGATGTCCAAAGAAGAGTCATGACAACGGTTGGAAATGGATGAAGACCCAGGTGGCTGGTGACTGCGCCATATGCTGGGCTTCGACGTCGATCTCCGCTGCGCTGTTCGAGCTGTTCCATCTTCACCTGCTCAAAATGCCTTCCCAAGCTGCAAACCCTCGCCCAAATACTCCCGCCAAAAAAGCACCCGTATCCTCCATAGTATCGAAAATTGTTCGTGTTAAGCATACCTCCAGTTGCACCCGTATCCGCTCTCACGTCTATTAAATCTCTTGCCGATGCTGGGTTAGTTTACAGACTGGGCTCTCTGGCCATTCATCAACGGCTTCTTCTTTGGCGCTGCAACAATCAGCCTCAGACAATTATGGGGCGCGAAAAAGTCGGTTGGGAGGCTGGCACAAAAGGATCTCATCAGCGGCGGTCGGCGAGCTGCAGCGTGATCCCAACACCGGCTCTGGTGGAAATGAAACGTCATCAATCCGAGTTTCGAGGGTAGCGGTTCTGGCCTGGGTTGGTGCGGAGTTTCTTGTATATGTATACCCTTCTATTCACGAACAAAACAAAGCAAAAGTCAACAATTCACGAAACAGGAGATTTGCAGTAGGATCGTCTCAGTTTTTTGAACAACGCCGGAGCTGCTACAGTTGGGTTTTGTTGTGAAGGACAAATGTGAAGGTTCCTTAGGTGGACACTGTCAACCAATTGCGATGATGACACTTAGTGTGCGGAGTTGGACCACCGTCCTGAAGTCGGGCGAATCCACGGATTCTTGCAATGACGCAGAATTGGGATTGAGTTCTTAGGCTGGGCACCCTGCTGATGATTGCGGAAGGAGAAGGATTTGACCCATTCTCCAATTCGCGAAAGATGATATTCACGCCATTTTGTGAAAAAAGGGTTCAGCGTAAATGCACTTTTTCTCTCACTTCCACATAACTCTCCTCTTTTCGTCTTTGAGATCAACAGCCTCGACGGAGGAATGTGTCGAGAGTTCTGCCAAGCATTCCGCCAACCTCTCAAGGTCCGCATCCCACAAGAATACCATTTCTGTGTTTCTGAATGTAGCAGCATCTTTAGATTCCGCCATTCTGTAGAGTATGTATACAGCTTCCGCCTTCCATAAATTACAACGGACCGCCACTGCATCCGCTCCTCGAAAAACGTCATGCAGTCCCTGTCTGAGACGTGTTATTCTAATCATAAGGGATGAACAGGCGTTTGGTCATATATCATGAGAACCAGCGATGGTGAGTTGGTATTTGGACATTAGCGCTGTACAATGCTTTGCATGTGAAGCGAAGCCGAAGGTAATCGAATCGAGGACGAACAATTTGCAAGATTCAACAAAGGATGTCAGGTTCATGCTCGCCGTGGAGGAGGGAAAGGAGTCCAAGCCGCAGCTTTGAGATTTGCTATTCTGACTTTCTGGGTGGTTGTTTCGTCTTCTTGTTGGACCCGTTCGCCATCTTAATCTCACCTTGCCTCCTGTCTCGATGCCCAGGCGCGTCCGTTTCAACTTTGGTCCCAACTTTCTCGCTTCCTTCCAACTCTGCACCCTTCTGCCTTTCCTCGCTGTAGTAGGTAAGCTCGATAAGCTGCGCAGAGTTGAGATGGACGCGCGGAGAAGCACCACAAGCACCAACCGCGATGCGGTTGCTGATTGAATACAAGTTGTGGCGCAGTGTGTGATCCAGAAATAGAACACTAAATGAGTGGCTGCGTTCTGTGAGAGTTTTTGAGACCTCCAAGCGTCACACAGCGCC